GTGAGGAAGATCAGCCCTGAGCTAACATCCATGCCAATCCTCCTCTTTTTGCTGAGGAAGACTGGCCCTGAGCTAACATTTATTGCCAATCCGCCTCCTTCCCCCGCCGCCCCACCTTTTCTCCCCAAAGCCCCAGTAGACAGTTGTATGTCATAGTTGCACATCCTTCTAGTTGCTGTATGTGGGATCCCGCCTCAGCATGGCCGGAGAAGCGGTGCATCGGTGCGCGCCCGGGATCTGAACCTGGGCTACCAGTAGCAGAGCGCACGCACTTAACGCTAAGCCACAGGACCGGCCCCTAAAGGTAGTTCCTAACACCCTAAGCAGACCTCCTTGGGCCGCCTTATTAGCACCTGAACACATCATTTTATTCTTCCACGTCTCGGCTTGCCCCCAACCTTCCAGAGAAGGATGAAAATGAGCCTCTGTGACACACTTTCATGTTTTCGTAGTAATGACTGACTCTGGCAGATAAGCAAGAGAGGGTAGTGGATGCTGTAATTACAGCCAAGTACTATACACTGAGCCAAAAACCCATCATCACCTTAGTGTTACCTCTCAGGTACATGGTACCTGTATATTCTGGCTTAAGAAAAATACAATCACTATTGAAACAGTGAAGAGAACGTTGTCTGTCCTGCTTCTAGTAGGAAAACGAGTGTGTCTGAAGAGCTGGACTGAAACCTCTTGTTAAATACCTCTTCTGCCTCAATGTCCTTTGCTAATTTACTGCATAGGGTTATATTATCAAAGAGCACTGGATTGCAGAACGCAGAGCTCTTTTTCGTGGGTTTTATTACTTTGGGCTAGAAGTTATCAAAAGACTTACACTTGGAATCATTAAATCTGGAGGAACTCCGCGTTCATAAAGACCAGAGATTCTTGATTTTCTTTAAATAGCAGAACTGTTTCTTTCTCAACAAATTTTGTAGTGAACCTCAATCTATAATACAAAAATGGATCTGCTCTGACTGAAATTGGTGGTGGCGGGAAGGTAAGGATAAGTATCCTACTCACTTGGCCACCTAAGGTGCTAAAGAGGCCAGTCTGGAAAGAAGACTTGATTAATCAAGTCAAGAAATGGGCAAGTAAAAAACCAAACCTGGACGCGTGCCCCAGCTTCCTTTCTCTTGTACACAATACTGACTTGCTTGGAATTGTGACTCCTATAAAATCAGGAGTCCCTATCAGGGCTGTCTTACTCTGAAAACTGTTACTACCTCATGGGCAAGGCGGTCAAAGAGATACTGCTGTGTCACCACTTCGTTCCAGTTCCTATCCACTTCCTCCCCAAGGTGGGTATCCTCGCACTCCTTCAGCTTGATCAGAGCTGTGACCTGTTACCACCAAAAAGAGAGACCTTCAGCATGGCGTCACACCAGTTCCCCAAGAACACACTTGGCCCTGTCCAGCCTAGCTTGTGATGGATCTGTTATGGTCCCTTCACTTGGGACCTGCCAGTATATGAGGGAGGATGAAGTTAGGAAGACATTATGGTCAGATTAAGGTGGGGCTACAAAGCTAAAAAACTGGCCAGCACTGGTGTCTAATTATTTTAAGGGCTTGTGTAGGCCAAGGAACAAAAGACAAGGCCAGCACAGTCACCTGGGTGTTGAATGCGTCCTCAGTGAGGTTCTCAATCTTCTCCTCAAAGCTGGAAAGAAACTCTTCTATCTTCTTATCAACAACTTCAGAACTAAAACAAAACATCTTCAATTAAAAGTTATCAGAGACCTGGTCTCAAGCAGTAAGCAAAAGAGAGAATTAGGGCTATGGCATATTTCCAGCAAAGAGGCTGAAGTGTTTTCTTCCCAGACCTCAATCATTTCCCCTAAGCTGAAGGAGGGAAGAGAATGGGGAAGAATCCTACTGCTCCCCCACCTCCAGGCCAGTTTCCTGGTATCCCCAATACTGAAGCAGTGAGGGCCATGCTTGACCATTCCAAAGCTGAAGACCAACAAGGCCCTATACCTTGGTTCTAGCATGAATGTCAGGTCAGGCACCTTTGCCTTTCTGTCCTCAGGTCTTCCTAAGAGAGAAGAACTGGCAAGCCCTGCACAGTGACCACAGGACTTGAGTCAAACCCTATGGGACCACTAGAACCAATCATCAGTCCTGGATCAGGCCATTTATGAACCACCCCCCACCCCCCACCCCTGCAGCTGTGACTAAATGAAGCAAACTGTATTTGGTCAGAGTTGCCTGAGGTTTAAGGAAGCACCTGTAGCCCCTACTCTCCACGCCAAGAATAACAATAGTTGGGCCCATCTACTCACTTGTATTTGGTTGCCTGAGTCCCCACGGTGACAGAGAATCCTAGAATCCCAGATGTGTTCCTACAGGTGGGGTAGACATGGTACCTACAGCCAGAGCAAAAAGTTCTATGAGCTCAGGTGGTCACCTGGGGCCTGCCCTCAGAGGCACTAGAGATGAGTGGGAAGGGTTTCTGCACATCCTGACCGGACCTGGAGGTCCTGAAAGAGGATCCATAAATGTGAATGCATCTATTTCATTCTCAGGTTAGGGTGTCCACCCCACTCCTGAATTGAGGACCACAGGCTAGCTTTTTCTCTTTACTAATCTTAAAACTTGACCAAACTGAAAACCTGATCATAGTCCAAAATGCAAATTCCAGAAGTTCTGACTAGCAGGTATGACTTGAAGGCACGGAAGGACCAAAGAGCTCTGAGAGGCTGCTCAATCAGAATGTCAGATAAACCTCAGCCTGCAAAGTAAGCCCCAGACCCTTATTTGAGCTCAGTGCTCTTGCCAGCAGACTTACCCAAGGGTCTGCTTGGTTCGAAGGAAGTCAAAACAAGGCTCTTCCATATGCATCTGTAATTCAACATACTACCCATCAGCCCAACTCCTCCCAACAGAAGAACCTCCATTTCTTCCCCCAAAAGTGTTCCGTATACCCCCGAAGTCCAGCCTCCCTTACTGTCTTCCTAAATCGCCCAGGCACCCTGGCCTTGCTCATAATGCGTGAGAATACTGAACCACCATCTCACCTACCCATCACAGGTCTCTGACCACTCCCAAGTCCCTAGCCCCCAGGCAGAAAGGCCAGTCCTCGTAGTGGGTCAGGGGCTCCTGAACACCTTGATTCTCCTTTATACAACTTACCACAAGCAGCTCCATAAGAGTGTATTCTCTCAGACTCCTGGTACCTGACTGAAAGGAGAAGTTGTTCAGACCAACTGAAAATCCAATGGCTTAGGGGGTTTCTTAACAATCCAGCTATTCTTGGCAACCGTTTATTCAGGTATCCACCCCACTCTTCTCTTGCCGCAAAAGAAATGATCATACCCTCTACTGCCATACTTTCGACAATTTTGATTATACATTTGCCTTACAGCTAGACTGAAGGTCTGTGAGGACAGGAATCATGCTTGATCATTTGTATTTTCAGCCTTAGCAGGCAGACATGGAGGTGAGTCCAATAATCCCTGACCTGCCAGCTCCTGCCCAAAGGACCGAGAAGACACAATCTAAAATCAAGTACTTGCAGTTCAAGGTCCTCAGGAGGAGAGCAGGAGGTGTTTGGGGATCAATGAAGGGTATCTGGACCTATTCCTCAGATGGAGAAGATATAAACAGGAGC